AAAAAAAAAAACCCTCAAAGACTTATTTAGATTAGCTCAGGCAATGATGAGGTCTTACACCTCAAGCATGAAGGGAAAAGACTCATGGAAATCTAAGAGGATGATTCATGAGAAGGCTATGCCTGGTGGTAGCAAGAACTTAAGAGGGTCAGTTTGCTTCTCAGAGACATCAACAAGAATCTGCATTGTCTGGTCTTCCCGTGGGCCCCAACCACAGCCCACTACTCTGCTTACACTGATTCAAGTGGATTCCTTTCCACTTCTTTATTTTTGTACCCAAGGTCATTTCACCTACAGCTTTGCCTAGTTCCTAATTTGAGCTCTTTTTTGCCCATCTTTCTGTATCCTGGTCTGTCTCATCACCTTTCCAATTGGCTCACTAGCTACATTCCAATTTCTGAGAATATGAACACTATTTGCCCAAATGGTACCTGTTCGGGAAGAGCTTTTAGCACCAGCCTCCCTCACGGGCTAATGGGTTAGCTGCCAATTCCTGATTCAGCAGGCACTCAGCAGGCAACAGGGTATAAAACAAGCCTGGCTGGGACAATGTGACCAACAAAGGTTGTGGTAAAAAATTACATTACGATTACATGTCAAGTTAAAATGGTCTTAAAAAGATATGAAACAGGTTCTTTTCCACTTTACCTTTACCACGGCTTCCCACCCACTCCTCCTCTACTTACTTTCAAGGAACATCTGCATCCTCTGGCAGTCTCTGACAGTCATAGGGATGATTCTCCATGTTTGGGAGTATTTAAAATGTTGTGTAACAAAATTAATTACATTTAATTAAACTTATCCTTTTTTTTATAGCCTCAAACAAATCTGAAGTGCCATGTTAAGCTTATGAGATGGCAGTCCTCCAAAGGTTCTGCGGCAGGGCGTGTGTATCAGAGACTTATGTAATTTTAGGGATCCTTTTTTATGAGGGTGAGTCTGATAAATGGCCTCTTGGCCTCAGTGAAGTATCAAGCAAGAATTAATCCCTAGGTCGAAGGCCAAGCAACTACCTATGCCTTCCCTCCTTCCTACATCCCAGCACTAGGCTCCCTCAGTCAACTTTAGTTTTCTGCCTGCTCCTTCTGTGGTGTGCTAAAATCGTAAACTTTCTCCCCAAATACAGCAGCAGGGAGGGAACTGTGTGTACTTCCCAGAAATACCTGGCACATGGTAGTTGCTCATTAGGGTTCTTCCTCCAAATCTATACTCTGTTCTCCTTAGTGTATTTGGTTTTATTCTCCCCAGTCTCTCAGAGGCACCCCCATTTGGCTGGAGGAAGAAAAAAAAAAGTCAAAGTCTGGCCCAGATCCATATCTCCCTCTTTACTCTCCATGGGTAAGGACTTTTTCTCATCTTCTGTATATCATTCGCAGCGAAGGTGCATAACTCTTCCCTTCCTGGGCTGATCTCTGTGCATTCTCTGTGTAGAGATGCACTACAATGGCTGGTCAGATAAGGGTCCCACGCCCCGATATCAGAGATGAAATACAAAAACATGGCAAAACCTCGAGTAGTCAAAACAGTAGTTTAGTAGTCCCCTTAAATATGTATTTGTTACCCAAGTTTTCTACTAGCAATATTCTAAAAGTGTAACTAGTTTTTAAAAATCAGCAAACTTAAATCTCCTACATGTACATTAGTCAGAATTCATTTGGGTTCAGGGACAAAACACAACTCAAAAGAGTTTATGAACCAAAGGGCTTGCAATATATTTAATTCAATGTTTACAAATAAGGAATTAAAGCTGTTGTTCTCTATTTGGGTAAGAAAAAATGCTCTAACACTGCAGAGTAAATTCAATGATACACCTTCAGTTTACATACTCTTATATTTTCATATCTTTTAAAAATATTCAGTGCCAAGGCCAGCAGGTGGCATGGTGGTTAGGGTGTTGGACTCCTACATGGCATATCATGGTTTGAGTCCTGGACCTGGAGACTTGCTTTCTTGCTTCCTCTCTCTGTCTCACTCTGGCCAAATTGAAAATAACAACAATGATAAATAAAGGAAATAATTCTTTTAAAATATATATGTGTGTGTGTGTTTATATATATACAAACAATGCCAACAGACCTGGTATCAGAAACTCTAATTGCAAAATCTTCCTAGGTTGTTATACTTAAATTGCTTTCCCATCTATTTTCCCTTTTCTTCCTAATTACAGCTGTTTCATTTAGTTTTCATTTCCATCACTCTCTATTCTTCCTATCACAGGTGATGGAGCAATGTGCTATAATAGACCTTTGTCGACAGAAATAACCAAGCTCTACAGAAATCATTAATGTGGTTTATTTCAAGCATGAACGTGAGTGACCAAAGTCAAGAAACACAAAAGTTTTTCAGGGTGCTCAGATGCAGTGGTTCTTTTATTCAGTTTTTGAGAGCAGGAGAATTGCAAATCAGTATAAAGAGTCTTTGCATTGACCTGGCTCACAAAGGTGGAAACTGGAGCTTATATGTTATAGATGAGTTTAGAAATTCTTAGGTTAGTAATTGGTTAAAAGCATAAGTTGTCTCTGAAAGACTCAGAGTCAGTAAGAAAAAATCTTGAGTTTAACAGAGATAAGAAGTTTTTATTACGTATCTCATAATGCTATGCAAGGGACAGGTTATAGGAAGCATACCACAATTATTGGACCAAATCAGCCCGCTATAAGATTGTTTATAGACGAGACTCTCTAGGCCTCTTGGACAGAATTTTAGAATAAGAAGAGTAGTCAGAAATCCATCCTTACAATTAAAAACTGTCTTAGGGACCTGACCCCAAAGCTTAGTGGTTAAGAAAATCAGATCCCACATGGCCAACCACGGTTCAAATCCAGGCCCCAACAGCTTGAAAAACATACTGGTACATGTATGTTCGTGCCCCAAATCCCAACAGGATGGAGAAATGGAGGGGGGATGGTGGTGTGACATGTCTCGCTGGGAGGAGCTTTCATTCTGTAACCCTCTCCCCTACCTTCAAGAAAATATTTGTCTTCTGGCAGTTAAAAAATAAATAAATAAAATTGGCTTTGTCTATTGAAGTCTACTTATTAATTTTCTAAACGAATTACAGGGCAGGTACTGTATTTGGCTCTGGGCATACATAGAATGGATGGAACATGGTTCTTTTGATCTCAAGAAACTGGTCAACAGGCTTCTAAACAAGTATCTGTAACAAAGAAGGAAAGGAACAGCTGGGGAGAAACAGGATCAGATCTATGTGCTATGAAGAGAATTCTGACCACTGCAGGAATTATGGGTTAGAAGAATGTGAAACTAGAAGCACAGTGATGAGTTTGAAGGTCCTGCAGGAGTTTGGATGATGAGAGTCTGAACCCTCTGACTGAAGGCAGAAGCTGTAAGACTAGAGACTAAACCATAGCTAAGACTGTCATTACAGAAGAGGAATCAACAGAACCAGTAAAAAGTGGGAAGAGAGAGAAACTGAGGACAATAGTGGTGCCACTCACAAGGGCACTACATATAAACTGAGAAGAGACCCAGTAGGTACATGCTGCTAAGATGCTGGGCTCCACAGGCTGGGGCCACCTGGAAGGTCTGGGTTCAATTCTCTGGGTCAACCCAAAGATGACATGCGGTGGTCTGCACTTACAATCTGAGACACAGGAGGCCGAGGCAGAAGGATCTTGTGCTCAACACTGGCCTGGACAACATGGTGAGACCCTATCTGAAAGGGCTGGGCATGGTGGCACGCTCCTGAGGTTCCAGTTACTCAGGAGTGGAAGCTAAAAACATATATCACGACATAGTGAGACCACCTTTTTGAGAGAGGAAATAAAAAGGAGGAAAAACTTTTCAGAGACCAAAAAGGACTTGGAATATCCAGGTGTAATACCATCAGTCTCCTTCCATGGATTCAGGATTGATTCGTACTTCCTACCAAAACTTACTTTTGTTTGTGCATAAATAGGGAAGTAAGAAAGGGACAGGATAGCAAGAATGTGGCAAATGTATGATAAAATCAATTGTTTCACGCAGAGGCCAAAATTTCCTCACCATAATCTTTCCCTGTGAAAAACTGGACAGTTATTTATAACCAAAAAGAGTAAATAAAAAATAAATAAAAAAGAGTCTCTATCTTGTTTCCCTTTTTTCTTATCAGGAGGTAGGTCTGGGTAGAGATCAGTGGTACCTGCCAACCCAAGCACTTGCAAGAGACCCATGGGCCACGATGTAAGGCTCAGAAGAGAACAGATTTCAGCCACAAAGTATTTCAATTCAGGACTTCTACATATTTTAATAAATAATCACTAGCCAATCCGTAAGGGCAAGTTAAATGATCTTATCTTTCAGAAGGTTAACGTGAACATTTCACCGTTTTAGGAATTGGCCAAGCATTTTAATCTGAAGAATCTTCCCTTGAGAGTTCTCTTAAATTACTGGACACAATGAAAATATTAATTCTTTATTTTATAGGAAATATGTTTATTATTCGTTTCAATTCAAAAATACTCGTTCCTTACCAGGGCTGGTCCATTGCTTTTGGTCTCTTTAGAGATATTAAATACATTAAAATTATGAACAATTTTGTTTAATGGTAACATAGAAACTTCTGTGTAATAAGCAAGACAGGAATTCTAACGATGAAAACAAAAGCTCCAGAACTTGCCAGTAAAACAAAGAAAGCATTTCCGATGACCAGTGTAGAAGCCCAAGGATAAAACCTAACAGAGCACATGCCAGAAAATGGGATCAGGAAATTGTAAATCTCCCTTCACTCTGAGTATGCTCTGTGATGGTGCAAAACAAGTCCTGTGACAGAGGCTTAGAGATCTGGCTGTTTCTGTCCAGAGAAGGTGTCCTTGGGGTATGGAACTCAAGGTACCTAAGTGCCCCAAAGTCAATTGGCTTTCATCTTCTTTCTTTCACACACAGTCAAAACCAGAGGTTTTAAGGAGAAGGTAGATGTAGGAGGTATTTAGCTTTGACTTTTAAGCAGATGTAACACCAGCTCTTCATCCTCTGCTAAGGACAGGCCTGTATCCAAAGGCTCTAGGCTTTCCCACTTGGCCTTCTTTCTATTACGACTTGCTGGTCCCACGTCTTCCACTTCGCTGTTATTTCTTTTCCTCATTCCCTGCTTCTTCTTGGTATCACTGGTGGGAACAAATCCAATGATTTACTTTAAAATAAATAATTCAACTCATTATTATGAAATGAAACATTTAAGATATTACAAAACCACCAGTAATAGACAGTCGGTAAAGTGTTATCATTCGGGAAGGAAAGAAATCACAACACTGGTGTCCTAAGTCTGTGTTCTAAGTAAGCATTTTCCCATCACTGGATGGGGAGAAAAGCCTATTATGTGCCAGGCATGCCACAGGGTACTTTGTACCCTCTGTGTCGCCCAATCTTCACACTAATTCCAGAAAGTTATGGATACATTACCCATGATTCAAGGACACTGAGAGGCTCCAGTCTGATTGTCCTGTCACATTAAACCACCTCTTAGATAGCAGTCTATGGGCTAATATTGGGATACCCCACACTGATTCTAGTATCCACTGCATTAAGGCGTGATACAGTGATCACAAGGAAAATGAAACATGAAATGTTAAACTATAGACTACTTAAGACATCAAACAAATTTCTCCCATTTAAAATACTGTATTCAGGAAGCCAGCAGGTGGCATAGTGGTTAAGGTGTTGGACACCCACATGGCAGACTGCAGGTTGAATCCCAGACCTGCCAGCTTGCTTTTTCACTGTCTTTCTTAGTCTCTCTGGTGAGCACATGTGTCCTACAACAGATTTAAAAGTAATAATAATGTTATTAAGATTAAATAATTCTCTTTTAAAAATCCTTCTCTCTGAGTATGTTCTGGTATAAACCATGTCCTGTGATAGAGGCTGTGATAAGACATAAACATTATTGCACTACTCTATACATGTGCAAGACACAGACCACAATAGTAAGGCTAATTTCTAGCAGTAGAGATCACTTGATACATTACAGATATAAGAAAAAGCTAAACATCCTCAGAGCATTCTGAGACACCGCCAACGTATTCAAAGATGACCCAATTACTGGATACAAGATGAAAACAAAACAAAACAAAACAAAACAAACATCTAGTAGCAATGGCAGTAGCAAACACATATTGCTTACTACGTGCCTGGTGCTGCGCTGTGTACTTTACATAGATTTCATCATTTATCTTCTTGAGAGCTCTCAGGGTGGGGAGCACTGGCCTCATCTGACAAGGAGGTTGACTTGACTCAGATTACACACTTGGGATTCAAACCCAGATCTGAATGACTCTGAATCCAGTCCCAAATGCAGGCCACCGAAAGCAAGTAGAGTTGACTAGCTTCAGTGAAAAAGTGGAAGGCAGTAACTCAAAGATTAGCTACAGGAACATTGATTTGGCATCAACTCAGTCAGAACTTGGCCAACTAATATTTCTAAGCTGCAGTTTCCTTGTCTGCAAATATGGGAACTACATAACTTATTTAGAATAAGTGTGAAGATTTAATGAAATTATACAAACGAGCACACAGAAGTGCTTGATAGATGTTAATTTATTTTCTGTCTGCAAACTATTTCTTTTCAAACAAATTTTCCCATTGACTGTATAATAATAATCAGGGGGGAAAATCACAGAAATATTATATTATATTCCAAGCATATAATATATTCCAAAAGAGAACCTGCTCAACTTTGAATGGACTCTTACTCTTTAAGAAGACAGCCTGGATATCAAAGTGAATGAGCCTAATCAGCATATCCATTTATGACCAGCTTGAAGCAAAACTGTAAATAATTTCCCCATTTATCTCCCAGAAGTGTCCGGTTCTCTGACTCATCCATTCTTTTTAGCCACTAGAGGAAAGACGACCTAGAGGACACTATGAGGTTATTTAAAGCCACAAAATAACTGCATTTTAAAAGGGTGCCTGAAGAGATGAACATGAAAGAGTTTCCTATGATGGGAATTCAGTCAGCAAAGAATTAAAATGGTTCTTAGTGAAACAGGGCCTTTAAAAATAAGTACTGAGCTCTAATCTGTATATGAGCATGGCCAGTCCTGGGCCAATTCCACTGGGCTAAGGTGCCAAGATTTATTTGCTACAAGGCAATACTGGCCTATACAAGTGCATCTCACAGCAGCCTAATTAGCCAGCTCTACTAATGCATCCTTTGATAATGTGCTCCTGCACATTATATGCCCTGCAGGAGATAAGTGTTTCAGCTAATAAATGGAGGACAGGAAATTTATGTAGCCCAAATATTTTAACAATTATAGCAGCTCTGCTGTTTTGCGGATCAGTTCAAATCCTAGAAAGGGATTCTATGGTATTTTCCATAGCACATAAGTGGTAGTCTGCACAACAAATTGAGGATTAAATAATAGTATAGGTATTCTACAGGTAATTCACCAAATGAGATAATATGGCAGAGGGGTCTAGCCTCATCTAGCTAACGCTCTCCAGGAACTTACTCAATACAGTTATCAACAGGGGTTCCTTAATGATCAGTTAAAAGCCTAACATAAGTGGGACCAGCAGTTAGCGTAATGGCTATGTCGCTAGACTCCCATGTAGTCGAACGCGGCTTGAGTCCCGAACCTGGTGGCTTAAAACTCATGCAGGATGCATGTCCGTGAATGCCCAGGATTCTAAGAGGAGAATGGAGAAGGAATTGCGGCATGGCCATCCCTGCGGGGGGGGGAGGGTGATTTCTCGCTTTCTGTCTCTGTTCGTCTGGCAAGCACACGCGCCCTGTGGCAAAAATCTCTCTCGTTCTCTCTTAAAAAAAAAAGGCCTAACATAAGTAAGAGAATTCTAGTTTCTTGATTCTTAAATTATTTTCTGCAAGTTTTGGGAGTGGCTCTTGTACCTTTCAATAAAGTTTCATGAGGTGTCCCAGGATAGCACATCATTGGTGCAATTTACTAAATAGATCATGGAGTACTCCAAAGAGAACAGGTCCACTGAAAAAGTGAAAATACAATACAGGCTGGAAATGGGTAATACCAGTGAGTTCCCTTCATGAAGTAAGTGTTAACACTGCACCAAGGAGGCAAGGAATTACCCAATATAACTGACAACTCGGTGGTGGCCTACAAAATGGGCTGAGTCCAGGCCAGAGCTCTGCATTTTATCTTCACATCAGTATTTTTGTGGGCTTAAAATGCTGAACTCTTTCCACATTCTTCAAATGTATGAATCCAGTGTCAAAAAGGACATTACTGCTCAACATGAAGAGTACAATATATGGGTGTATAAAACACATCTCAGAGCAAAAGCATGGCTCAGCTCAAAGCATTAAAGGCTTTAGTACTGCTATGAAAACAACAAAGCATTCAGAGCTACTAATTTTCAATTATCCAGATAATACAGAAAATTAGCAATGTCTGATGCGTCATTTAAAGAACTGATCATACAACAAAGTATAGAGAAAAATATCATCACATAGTATGTAATCTGAATCGACAACAGGGAAATTCTACTTAGATGATTTTAGTGAAAGTGGGCATACAAAAGCTTTTCCTGACAATCAAGGCAAATAACAGAGCCAATTATTCACTGCTAATAACTATGGGAAAAAAAAATAACATTGAAATGTGAACTCAATTTTAAAATCAGTGCATTAACAACAGAGTTGTTTTTTTTGTTTTTTTTTTTTTGAGAGAGATTTAGGCTATAGGGTGCATGCACTCGCCAGAGACACAGAGAAAGACAGAGAGAAAGTGAGAAATCATCCCCCAAGGGGATGGCCACAGCACAATCCCTTCTCTTCAAATTTCCTCTTGGGATTTTGGGCACATATGCACACGCACCTGGCGTGAGATTAAAGCCACCAGGTCCAAGACTCGAACTGCAGTTGACTGTGTGGGAGTCCAGCAATGTAACCATTACACTATCGACTAGTCCCCAACAATAGAGTTTTAAATGAAAAATAATTTCCTTACTTTCTAAATTCTCTGACCCCAAACACCAAAATTCTCCCAGAAAGTAAACTGACTTTCAATACATTTGATTCTTGATTTCAACATTTTTTTAACTTTTTTTTAAATTAAAAAAAAATTCCTTCCATAAATTATTAATCTTTGTAATAAAAGAAATAAAATAAACCTATATTTGAAGTTCTGGGCAGCTCAGCATATATCAATTATTCCTTTGTAATTCTACAAGGGTCAGAAGTATTCAGAAGAGGTATGCTGCAGTGATGAACCAATCTGCAATTTAGGGCCACGGAATCCAGGGAGGTACAGGGAAAGCTGAGATTTCTTAAGACAGGATATATGGGTCATGGATTATTTTCACTATTTCTAAAAAATGTACAATTGTGTGCCCCAGACTAAATTGTGGAATTTCATTGTTTTTGGATAGAAACATATTGACTTGAGTTTTGTAAATGCTTGACACTTCAAAAGCTTGGATGGCCGCAGAATTAAGAGTCTTTGTTGGTAGAATAAATAGGAAATATTAACTGTGCGAGACCAGAAGGTGGTGGGTTGGTTAAGGTGAACTCACACATGGCAGATTGCAGTTCAATTCCCAGACCTGGCAGCTTGCTTTTTCACTTTCTGTCCCTGATAAAATTTAAAAAATATTAATAATAATAAATTAAATAAAAACAATTCTTTAAAGAAAAAACTTGCAAATTATTATGTTCTTTCTTTCTTCTTTTTTTATTTTTGCTATAGGGCACAAGTGCTCACTGTAGGGGTAGGGAGAGAGAGAGAAAGTGAGAAATCACTCCCCAGAGGGATGGCCATGATGCAGTCTCTTCTCCTCCATGCTCCTCTTATGATTTTGGGCATGTATACACATGCACCTGGCATGAATTTCAAGCTGCTGGGTCTGGGACTCAAACCGCTGTTGGCCTTGTGGAAGTCCAGCACCTTAACTACTGCGCCACCTGCTGGCCCAAGTCTGAACTTTCTCGAAAAATAAAAATCTTTCTAAATGTGGGACCACTAGGGCTGAAAATATAAGTTCTCTAATGATGAAAAAGCTGGGAGTCACTGTACCAGACTGGAGAACCATGTTCCATGGGCCATATGGAGAAATTTATTGGAGTTTCTAGTAGGCTTCTTAGGAAATTACCCAATAATGGTCTCCATACCTGCTTTTCCCTCCAAAA